AAGCTATAATAACCAGCACCGTGGTCTCCCGATGTATGACCTGTCCGCACATTCAAAGCCTAATTTATACTGGTTATGCGTAATTTGATGTGTTGCTGTGTACAATGACGCTATCGTGGCCTCCATGCATCGTGCGCATGAGTCATATGATTCATTCGAACAAGAAAAACTACGCAAATCCCCATTCGGAACGCTCGATTCAAGGTACCTACTCGCGGCGTGAGTATCACACCGTAGCGTAATTATAATGATTGTAAAATGTTATTTTAATTGACTGAAGTACTGTTATGATTTAAAAGATACTTATCGGTGTACCTAAGTAGTAAGTACATCTCGGAAAAGTATTGTACCTTTTTCTCATCAACAAATTATAACTTTTAATAATATGTTAAGTGTTATATAACATTAATTTCAGATTTTCTGTTTAGGGAATAGGTAGCGACAATTCGAAGTCTTTAAAAAATTCACTGATTTTATCTGTATCTGACATCTGTTCTTGTTTATCCATATCTAATAACCTCCTGTATTCGTTACTTAATCCAAAAGTTTATCTCAAATTAATTAATTTTTACTTAACATGATAACAATGCCCTTGATACGGTGATTGACTGACCAAAAAAAACAATTACTTAGTTACATAGATAAGTTTTTGCTTCGTTATTTTTATCAACATGTGAATATTATCTCGTTGTAAATCATTATTATCGTGAATTTTGAACAGGCTACAGCTGCTAGACATCACATATATTGATTTAATATTGATGTACTAGAGGTCACATCCCTTTAATGCTATCAATGTACTTGGTAATAAGACACGTGCCAATATACATCATTTTTTAATAACGTTGCTCTATACTAGGACTGTCTCTACTGTCGTGGGTGCGTTTACAAACATACAAGTTCACATACACATGACATCCAGACCCGGAACAACAATTTGTGGATCACGCAAAGAGTTGTTCGGTGCGGGAATCGAACCCAGGACACGTTGCGCGGCAGCCAGTTGCCCAACCACCGCGCCAACCATGCAGTCATGTTGACATTATATTGCTCCATTTGATACAACGGTGTGACAAACGGCCTTCAAAGACAAGGCGAGACAAGCGAGGATTTTAAAGAATATTTTTTTAATATTCAGTTTTTTGTGAATTAGTATAAATACATACATACATAATATAAAAATTACCGTAATCTTCTTGTATTGACTTGGTCACATAATTGTCATAATACCAATTGAAAATAATAATCCTTTAACATTAAAATACTTATGTAAGAAAAACAAAAACAACGAATACATAATTAAAACTCCTTTTTACTTGATTTCTGAATAGGTACAGACTGACTCATTGACATAGCGGTACTAATAAAATACATATTATTAATACTCTACTCTACGTATAACACAGACGTCAATATCAAAAATAATATTATACAAGTTATTTTCCTCGACGTAGATTATGAATATATTAATTCGTATTGGGTTTTTATGATGTCATGAATGTATTTAATACGTCTTATTATTTTTTTGTTTAAAGTTAAGTAGATAAACAAGCTGGTTTACCTGTAGAGGAGATATTAAAATTGATCGATTCGATTTATTGTTCTCAAGTTCAAATAATTTCTAGTATTGCATAAATACCTAGATACATCGTTAAGACTTTCATAGTTACTAAAGTAATCAAAATAATACATATTTTAGAATTAATTCAAGTTATACCTATATTAAAGGATATATATTAATTTAAACTGTCAAACACCAAGCGGTCATCGGTGACCGCGACCTATTGTTCTATAATTGTGTCTATAATGACAGTACTTGACGAGTTAAGAAGAAATGTTGATAAAAGGTACTTGAGATCCAAACAAAAAGAATTAAGCTTAGGGTATTCCGTAATAAAGATAATCAATAACATTTAAGTAAGATATATTTTTTTTCAAATTAGAACCGGAATATAAGATTTTTGCGTTCATTGTGTCAGTTGCAACTTGCATTTATCATCCTTACGGGCTCCTGGCAGGGCTCGAAAGCAGTCGAGTAAACTCATCGAAAAGTTACGTGAATAACAGTTTAACTCAGTAATAGTGTCGGTCATAACGAACAATGTGGCAATAATAATGCGATTAATTTATGAGAACCTAGACCGCAATTTTCGTCACAAATCCTTGAGTCACGTTTATCAAAATACAACCTACAAAATGAAATATAGGTGTATTTAGACATTTATTGTACCTAGCTTATGTGCAACTAGTGACTCATTTAATGAAGAGTACTAAGGGTCAAATAAAGTAGTTCTAAATAAGTTCTGACCGCGCCTTTGCCCGCGTTCCCATGCGATAAAAAGTGTCCTATGTGTTATTCCAGATCATTATCTACCGCTGTTCCGAATTTCATTCCGATCCCTTCAGCCGTTTTGACGTGAAGGAGTAACAAACACAACTGGTGTTGCGAGTGTCCATCGGCGGCCAAAAACACACATACACACAAACTTTCGCATTTATAATATTAGTAAGATGTTACAACAGGTGAAATGGCCCCCAAGGCCTCAAATTCTCCATACTTAAAAAAGTTGCGCAACCGAACCGAATTGAATAAAGTCGAAAAGATACATTTTTTTAATTATTTTATTCTGATAAACACCATTCATCGAGTAAACAATAAAACAAAAATAACTTCTCACATTACAATTTCTGGGTTAACGATTATTTCGTATATTTTTTATTACTATAATTTTAAATTATTTTGTTGTAGTTATCTTATTACATCGGGTGGACGATCTTGGACATTATTACGTCACATACTTGTTATTAAAATCGCTACCGGTTACGTTTTAAGTACTTACGCAGATACAAAGTAATTTTTATACTGAATCAACTTTATTTTATTACCTACTTGGTATTGATGCTTTATGTCTAGAAGAAAAAGTTTTTACTATCTTCTTTTACAGCTACGGTATATACACTTCCATGTAGATATCCTTACTGTTGAAATAGTTGTAATTGGCTCCCTAATATACCATTAGATATAACTACACCAGGTACATCATCATTTCGATTCAACTAATCTTAATAAGACTATCATAACAATCCAATAATTATTATATTAAGACGTGAGAAACTTAGATCGTTTGATTGATTGATTGTTTATTTGTTTATTTATATGATGTCTTCATTCTCCGTGCTATTTTAAACTAATGACTAATAACTAAATTTTAAAATTTAAGCGATATAATAATTAGGTCCATATTTGTAGTAAATAACTGAATATTGTTTACTCATAGGTACTTCAAATTAATTTGTACAAAAACTTAAGTAAAGTCCTTTAACTTAAGAAAGTAGCTGCGCAGCTTTGACCAAAATAATACTTGAGTCAGTTTCTCTCCACTCAAGCTCTTATGTCTGCCATCATGACATGAACGTAAGGTTTTACAAACATAATGAGTACTCGCTACACGATATTACCTTATATTACGAATCGCATGTAATCAGTATTCATCATGATAACTTTGATACATTATGTATGTTCAAGTGGAGTCAAATTGAGAACCAAAAGGTTCCGTACATGCTAAAAGTGTTAGTTAAACTGTATTGGCAGAAAAAAGTGCAGTGGCGTAACTACATGGTGGCAAGGCGGCAAAATGCCACGGCTCTCTGGAAGGGGCTCCTATTCAAATGATTTCATCTAAACTCCTCTCTTTTTCATTGAGAACGGGGGCCCATCTGGTGAATTTGCCACGGGCTTCGAATAGTATAGTTGCGCCACTATGAAGGCGTCAGAAATAATTAATCAATTTATGCCTAAAGAATGTTATCATAATTTCTTGCTCTGTTCCACGAGCCCACACTTTAGAACCGCTTTGTGGAACATTGTGGATTTTTGTCCCCTCATGCAAAAGAAGTGGTTTTAGAAGCTTGCCATTTGCCATCTACGTGTGTCTGTTTTTCTATTTTTCTATGGCCAAAGGCACCGTGATTGTACTTACAATTGGCCATAGAAAAATTTAAGAAGTCCTATACGATGAAAACATAGAATTTCAGAATGCTGTTAGCATTAAGTCCTCCTTATGCAATTGTATGAAACTTAGATAAATAAATAATTTGATTTTTAATGAATAATTTGAACTAATGTTTGAAATAATAATAGAATATCTCAAAACGCGAGCATAACCCAAAAAAAAATCTCTAAAATTATCAACGATCTTGGACTCATAACACAAAGCGATTTACATTACATAATACACTCATTAACTTAAACAACGTCGATTTTTTATTCAGTAGTAAAGCAAAGCAAGATAAATATTAATAAACATTGTATAATAAGAAAAAAACTCGTTGAAGATAACACATTAATTAAATAAAGTGATAATGCTGTAGGAAGATGTAATTATGCCTTGTTTTATGTTATCTGTGGCACTAAAATGACAGATGTCAGATAGAATATGTTATGACATAAGCAAAATACACCCAAGGCCGATTATGTGGATAACATATGTTAGCCGCAGTGGTTAGATAATCAGAATAGTTGTGGAATAGTCGACGAATCGATAAATTGTTCTAGTTCTATTTATTTTTTGGATAAAAATATATTATCTATTGCGGTATATTTTACGACAACGAAATGAAGCTGAAAATGGAGCTCTGAGCACTAACTCCGAGGTCTGCTGTACCCACATTTTTAAAAAGAACAAATGGTTTTTATTTTTGGTCTTGATCTAAATGAGCCAAAAAAGTCTATTTGTTAAGATAGGTAACGCATTAAGTACACAGATAAAGTATTAAGCAATCAAGTCCCTTATCTAGTGTTTCTTGTCTGGTATCTGTTCAAATAAATATTGTGAAGAATGTCAAAGAGACAAATTAGCAGTTTTTGCGTTAGTCTATCCTTAATCATGACGCTCGTAAGAGTACCAAAGTAGGGATAGGAAACTCAAAGTGAACGTACTTTCATAAAAATTCTGTTATTAACTAGTCCAATAAACTCTTTTTTTTTCAGAAAGACCAACCTGTGCATGTCTCAGCTGATTGACGAGTGTGGAGCACCTCTCCGGGTCTTTTCGGCCGTCAAACGAGTCCAATTCTGCCGCGACCATGTTGAGTGCGTCATCGGCGAAGAAGAACTGCGCTAGAAGCGACCGGTCGTCCCTCTAGAACAAAACAAAAACATTTTATAAGTTTAAAACAGTCATATTAATAGTTACTCTAATTTTTTGCAATCTTTGCACGATAACTAATTAGTTATAGCAAGTCAAAGGCAAACAATTTTGATCTACCCAACCACTATCAGTTGTCCAGTTCCCAACTGGAATAGGGAAAAAACGAGCAGACGGATCACCTGATGGTAATGGTAAGCGATTAGTAGTTACCGCTCAAAAGGAATAAGGAAGAAATAGTAATATTAACGAACTACATCGGCTGTAATACACATAACAAAATGAATTCATTGTGTAGGGCAACGTTTTATAAAGTCAGTCACATAATTAAAATCAGGTACATACTGCAGATGATATAAAGGTTCTATAAAAAGACAACATTACATAACATTTAGGAAAAAATATCGTAACATAATATTAACAATAGACACATAAATAATCTACGGTTCGCATCGCATCACATCATTAAAGCTTCATTCATGTAAACAAACATGATAACTAACTTCAGTGTATTGACAACTAACAACAATGTGGAGTTATAAATGAATGAGTTGACAGGTAAATTACGGTCTTAGGAACCAGGTGTTTATGTTAAACTGACATTGTGTTAAACCCACAAGTCATGGTGGTTTAATAGCTTAAAATAAACTTGTATAAAGATGGGCAGCGTTTTTAGAACTAAATAACTAGAGTAGTTTTGTTTCCGTTGCAATGTTATACTGAAGGGCCAATACCGACACCAAGCCGCGATGCGACGTCTGATCGCAAAAATGTGCGAGCTCCCTCTACGCATCGCCAGAACTTGCGAATTCATTCGCATCGCACATCAAAATCTTCTTTCTTTATTTTTTCTATATCTCCTAAGCGATAACAGAAGTGCACACTTCTTTTTACGATCCATATCACGACCTAGTTTTCAATTTAAAATACGGTAAGTGCGTTTGATGGTCGTCGAAGGAATGGTCACCCTGGGAGAGGCCTTCTCGCACGAAATCGCATCGCAGCAATTTGTATTGTAATTTTTTGCGCTGCGAATTCGCATTACATCGCATTGCAGGTTTGTGTACGAGGCCTAAATGCGAGTTGCTGCGTCAAGCGCGTGTGGTAGGTGCCTTAGTTACGCTTGCATTAATTTAAAGAGTTTATTTTCATAAATATTAAAATTTTCGATCTCAGATAAGATTGGCAAAGTGATAATAAGTAGTTATTATTTTAACGCAAGGGGTGGTTAAGTTAAAATAGGCATAGGCATTTCGTTAAAAATGATCAGTAAAACAATATATATATATATATATATATAAAGCACTAAAACCTGAATATCAGTATTCGACCCCATGGCTAATGGGTGCAAAGACCTTAGAAAAAGGCCATAACAACATAAATAAATAAACGCAACCCCACTATTTTCGGCTCATTCGATCCTCGATAAAGGTAAAAATGTAAAACAACATCGTTTATATGAAACCAGTAATATTAAAAACTTGAAAACGAGGACAGGCCTTCGGCAGGACAGACCTAGGACATTAATTTGCACTTTAGTGCAAAACAAGTTTTATTTTGAATAAATAAATATGCCGTTTCCGATTTTTTTACTTATTCTATCGCGCGGATGGCGCCACTGTCGAATTTAGTCCTGTAGGAGAGTATATAATTGGTACTTTGACACGGGGCAATATCCTTTATTGATCACTTTAAGTTAAATTAGCGCGTCTAACCACATTAGTTGATACAAATTACAAATAGACTTAGTTGTGTATATTACATATATTTAAAATCGAAAGTCTATTATATGTTATATGTGTCTCAGCTTACTAAACTACTAAACCCATTGCATTGTCGAAACGTGGCACAGGCAGGCAGGGATGTCTAAACATAAGACACAATTGCGTAAAAATCCTCGCTTTTTTAATATCAATGTTAATTTAATTTGATATCTTGTTGTGAATATTCATTTGTGTAAATTCAAAGGTCACGAAGGTACATCAATTTTCAGTGGAATATGAAGAAATCTACAAAATGATTGTTAGATAAGTACCTATTTACTGTAAAAACGAAATCCCAAATAAATTAATGCAATATTTTAATAGAAACTTACTTCTAATCACCTAAAACTGCCGTTACCACGTAACTTAGCAGAATAATTATATCATAAATTCATAATTATGAGACCATCTTATCAATTAAGTAGTTTTTGTTGTATAGCGTGAGTAAATTGCGTAGGTATTTCAAAAGTCAAGTTACTCAACCACTTTTTCTTATAAAACCTAGTTATTCAATCAAATTCAATTGAAAAGAAGAAATAGGTAACGCTAAAATTAATAAACTTACTGCAAAAAGCTTATGGTATGACCTAATAAAACTAACAATAAGGACCGATTTTTCAACCATCAGTTACCTAATTCTTAACTGTAGAATAAAATTGATACCTATTTGACAATTTTTAGTAACTATGGAAGAATTTGGATGATGCCAGGGTATGAAAATTAAAAATATACCTAAGTAGTCCGTAAGTTAGGTAATGAAAATTATTAGACACGTATTTTTTTATTTTGTCGTATAATACAATAATACTTAGATAAAACGCATCAAAGTTTAGGAGTGGGGGCTAAAACGTCATTTCTACGCTTATAAAAATATAAAATGTACATTGAAGTGACGTCACGCGACATTTTAAATCAATATATCGCCGAAAGCATTCATTTCTGTAAGAAAATAAAAAATATGTGTCTAATGATTTAAAACAATCTACCAGACGGACATTAAAATAAAAATTACGCATCTGGTTATCACAAATATTCAAAGTTATTCTTCAGTTAAAATTGAACTGGAAAATCGGTACTAGATAATTAGTTGCTTAAAGTAAGCCGTACAATGTCTTCTTTAACTAATTTAGGGAAGACTAAAAATCAGTTTTCTACATGGTTGGCAACACACTAAACTTGTAATGCCTGTCTGGTAGTGCTAAGTAAAATCAGGGAGCCAGGAAGCTTTGTTCAGCCACCGATAGTAACTAGGTACTAAACTAGGTAGGTAATATAGATAAAAAATTTCTGAGTAATAGCACCCATAGACTGACTTTTGTATGAAAACAATGTTGTATAAATAAACTTAAAGCAACTAAGGATTAAGTGAATGGCATGAGTCAAGGTGACAGACGTCACACTAAGTTAAGGTGTCGCCTCCGTCACTTTCATCAACTTTATGTAATCCAACTCGTGCCAATTCCAACCTTAACCTCTAACACTAAAGTTCTAAATTATACCAGCACTAATATTTCGCATTTATGATGTTACACGTAAATGCAAATTTATGGACAAACAAAAACTGTGCAAATAAACAAGTTTCTGTTATTTTTTAAAAGGTTTGTTGATGCAACGTTTTATTTTATTACGATAGAGTGGATAGATGTGCAATAAGCCGATGTTATCTGATTACTCACACTAGTATTGCTGAATCGATAAAGACATTTTGATAATATAACGTCATATTTTATGTGTGAAATGACAATAATAAAGGAAATTCTTATATTACTATCCTGTACAGTAAAGTTCATTCACATTGCATGTGTATTTTTTGCTGACTACAATGTAACTAGAGTACAGTACTGAGTTACAAATCAGTTATTGGTGTACGGTTGCAAATATTTAGATATCGTCAAGATTGTTTTGTCCAATTATTTAAGGTAGAATAGAAATAACTAACTATATCCGATACAGCATCTCAATCCGATCGTAAATCTGTAACACATTGTATTATCAGTTATCGAGAATCATTCGACAAGGGTTTCCCACTGGGTCAAGACGTTTGGACGTGAGCCAAGCGAACGACTCGAGAGAAAACAGAGGAGACGAAACAAAACCAAAGTGCACCAGTGCACCTAACATTTCATCTTAAATTGAGCGAAAAATATATTTAATTGCACTCAATTATGTACGAATTAGAGCGGATCGTCACAGAATCTGCGATTCAGTACAATGACTCATTACATATGTAAACATATGGATGTCGCAATCAGAATACGCGAGCCGGCTCGTTGGATCGCCATCTGTTGCCAGACAAGTTCTTGTTGTGTGAAATCTTTACAAATATGGCAACACGTTCGTAATTGAATGCCGAAAAAATATATTAACATGGGTAGTGTAGTCAATAGGAACATTTGACCAGACCACAACTATTTGACAGGTTCTTGCTCAAGTACAAATAGGTCATGGCGTATTGCGCTGTAAACAACACAAACAATTTTACTGTAACACCATTTTACTAAACAGTTTCCATTTTCCAATGTATTTAGTTACGGTTCACGTTATAAGAGTATTTGTTCTAGTGGACAAAACCATACAAAGTAGGTAGAGCTAATTTTGTTGAACTTGGACATTGAGCAACTTATGAAACAATTGACGGAACATCGCAAGTCTGCCTGATAGACGGCATCGCAATTCCGGTATGCAGTTAAAGAATAACACCTTGAATCTCCCCGTCTGAGACGAAACAACTCTATAATAATTTGTCTCCATTAAACTCATTGCAATCTACCAATTTATGACGTAGTTGGGGTGCGCAAGTGGATGCGTGCAACTGATTTATAAATAAACATGTCTACAGACGTAACCGTCTTCTCCAATGTCCCACTCATCGCACTGATTTCCTTCATTCTTCTTTTTTCGTACAGGCAATTTTGCTGTGGAATGCCCTCACCCTGGATGTCAGGATGGTGTCGACACGTCTAACATTTAGGCAGAAAGTACGTGAGCTTCTCTTGAAGAGGGTGGCTGAATCATCACGCTAATTATTTACAGAGTATTAGTTATTATGTTCTTATTTATATGCTATGAGTCTATGTATGTATGTATGTATGTATGTATGTATGTATGTATGTATGTATGTAACATCATCATCATCATCATCATCATCATCATCATCAGTATGTAACATCATATTCAAAAACCTTTAGATTAGTATGCAGAACCGCGAAACGTCTTTATATTAGTAATAAA